ACAGCCTGGTACTACTTAATAGTAATACAAAATACAGCCTGGTACTATTTAATAGTAATACAAAATACAGCCTTGTACTATTACTAATAATATATACTAATAATACCTGGTATTTACATTTACTACCGGTAAATACATAACTAGTACTTAACTGGTAGCAGGTACCTAGCTGGTATATATAGGGTAATTACCAGGTACCTATACCAATGGTACTTGGTACATACCAGGTGCATATTGGGTACCTACCTGCTACTTACTAGAAACTTACCATGTACAATACCAGATTAGTTTGTGGCATCTAACAGGTACTTACTGGGTACCTGATACCTAGTAGCTACCTTGCTTGTATGTATCAGGTACTTACCTGATTCTAACCTGGTATTTACAAGGTATTTATTGGGTAATAATTTTGTAGGTAACTGGTACTTACCAGCTATTCACTTGATACATACATGGTACCAGGTATTTATTGGGTTTGTACCTGGTACCTACCAGGTGTGATACTTGTACTAACATGCTACGTTGGTAGCATGAACCTATGTAATCCATACTGACATGCCATACTGACATATATGTCAGTATGTACCCAAGTACCAAGTATAGGTGCCAGGTAAGTACCCAGTTGTATTATGTGTTGCTACTAAATATATTTTACGAAATATTTTTCCTCTATATAAAATGGGTGACATATAGTTGTTGTTTAAATAACAGATTGGTATTTTTCAGTTTTTATTGTAAAATGTCAGATTTAATAAAAGCTTCAAATTTCAGAGAAAGAACTGAGGGGGAAGGCAGGATGACTGCTTTGGTCCAGACGGAAACAAGACCAAAACCTGCTGCTCTGTTAAAACAAAACTGTAACAACGCCGGAACTGACGTCATTTTGATTTCAAAATAAAACACCCAATCTGATAATTTTGCCACAACCACTGAGAAAGAACCTGAGAATTAATCATTTTTCAGGCAGGTCATCTGGACAGTTACTTTTTTTTTTTTTTGTGCTGAAATGTTTCACCTTCCATCCAGAAGGTTTCATCAGTCAAGGAAATACACAACACAAAACTGATTCTTCCCCCAACAGCTTACTCCAAAATGGAACAAACCAGTTATGTTGGTGCTAAGATGGTCTCTTTGGCACGCCCCCTCCTCCGGTGCCGGCCCTCTTCCTAGTCGACAGTCATGTCAAACTGGTTCAAAACCAACAAAGTCCATGCTCAATAATCCAGGTATACAATCCAACAATTTTCAGTCAGTCATGTGGACGGTTTCCAGATGATCTGACTGAAAATTGTTTGTATACCTGGATTATTGAGCATGGACTTTGTTGACCCTGAGAATTGTTTTGAAAGAGAATAAGTAGAAAAAAAATTGCAAAGACCTATATTTCCATATTTATGGATTTGCTAGAAAATACTTATTTACATAACATTACTTAGACGTTGAGGATTTTTGAGCCATTTTCTTCCCTTTGAAAATAATAATTATGTATTTTTTCTATGCATATTTGTCCAGTGTCCGATTGTCTTATTTTTTTCCCCAATGAATACAAATTTTGTAAAATTAGAAAAAGTAAATTATTTAATCATGTACACATAAATAATAAATACGCAACAAGTTAAAGCTCAACAAATAAAATCGCATCTAAATTTTTAAACGTTCAGATGATTATTGCCCAGAATCATGCTTTTATTTCTTAACTCCGCCGGAAGTTGTAAAAGTTCCAAACTGCGTCCGTCTTTACGGATGTTGCGTCACAGCTGCTTTAAAGCGGACCGAGTCGCGAGCGTTCAGGCCACAAATGATCTCGGGGAACATGGACCGTGTTTGAGACTTAAAAACGAACCAAAAACTGCGCGCCTTCGCCTGGACTTAACATCCGGACTCAACCGGGACAGAACCGCCACCGAAACTGGATTCCACCTCGAGTGTCGGAGCTTTTAAAACCGGAGTGAAGGCGCTACATTAGCCGGGTAAGCTTCGTGTTTTTCGGTGTGTTTTTTTTTTTTCTTTCCGTTTGTCGTTTATGTCGGTTCCGTTTAAAACAGCCGTTTGTAGTGGGTTGTTTTGGGCCTCTGTGGCGTTAAATGCCCGGTGGTGGGCCTGTTGCTGCCGGGTTCCCGTCCTCCTTCCTCCAGTTTGTTTTCATCAGGAGGGAGCGGCTCTCCTCCTCCTCCTCCTCCTCCTTCTCCTGCTCCTGTTGGCAGCCTCGTGCTCTATAAGCCAACATTGATTTTTACATTGTCCCTAAACATTCAGGTGTGCCAGGTACCTATACGTGTTTAAGCAGACGGAGATGGATTTTACTTTTGGCTGCCGACAGATAAAGCTGACACCTTGATTGTTGCAGCTCCGTGTCGGTTTCACAGTTTGCTGATAAACTTCACACTTTGCCCTGAAATGTCCACGTTTCTCCTCCATCAGTCCACGCGTTGCATTCACTGACCGTCTGTTAAAGTCAGCTCCCCTGACCTTTAAACCAGTTTCCACCTCTGCGCTGCATTTGCTCAACTATTTAGTTTTTGATTCAAAGTATTCTCATTTTTCCTGGAGGAATGAAGCACAACGAAGGACTCTACCTTCTCTGCTCCATGCACACTTTAAAAACATGAAAACATTTTTTTAAAAACGAGTTTTTAATTAGCTGATTCTTTGATTCGGAGTATTTTTTTTTAATGGTATGATCTGCCAACTTTGTGACTCACACCGTGCAATATAATTTTGTCACTTTAGATATAATTACAAAAAAATCTAATTACAGTAAGTAACTTATATTTTCCATAAAGGCTGCACCTGACAGTTCAAAATACAGCACAAATTAAAAGTACTTGCCAAATATTTGTTATTGCATGCTTTGGAAAACTGCTATCCTCATCTATAGAATATATTAATATATATATATATATATATTTTTTTTTTTTTGCATGTGCCAGTTAAAAAAACCCAGAATGTGCTGGCTAAGTTTTCTTGCTTCCTTTAGTTTTTAGCTGTTGGGGTTAGTTTAATCAACATTACAAATTTAATTTAGGCTCTCCCTGACTCCAGCATGAAACATGTCTCAGAATGAGTGGGTGTTGCTGCGTGAACGTGTTCACAATGTGTTTTCTTGACCCGTTGTCTGGTTCTTCTGATGGGTTACAATCGAGGAAACGTGGGGATTGTCTGATTCTGACCACCTGCTGAGCGATCTGTACGCCCTGGCTTTTAATGGGATTAAATTGAACGAAAACTGGTTGAAGCTTCCCAGATGTGACAAGTTTCAAATTTTCTCTTCTCCTTCTTCCGTCTTAAAGATAAAGCAGATTAACTTTTTCTCCCCACTTCTTATCACATCGGTCTCTAATTGGAACACCTTCCCCACGAAGAGTTGGAACGAAACGGTCCTGCAGCTCGTTTACCCAACGGATCGGATCAGCGATCCGCCCCAGACGTTCCAGAGAGGAGCTGTTGATGTCAAGCGATGATCAGAAACATCTGCAGGGGATTTTCAGCTCCGATACGACTTTCATTGGAGCGAAGCAGCCACAACACTGCTGAGAAAAAAGAAGGTTTAACAGCGCGCGCGCGCTCCTTGGTGTAAACATCGTCACCATGGCAACAACCTCCGCGGCATCCACATCTGGAAGCCATCACAGGCCTGTTAATGATCAGCGTCTCTGCAGGGTGATGATCTCATGTTCAGCTGGACGCGGTGAGCGTCTCCCCTCAGAGAGACCGAAGCCGAGGATGAGCTCGTGTTAGTCAGCTGGTTGCTTCACACCTTTTTTAAGGAGACTTTTTAAATTTTCGAGATATGAAACTGATCTGAAAAGTACCGAGGATGGAAACATGTCCTCTATCTGCCAGTAGAACGACAGATTTATTATTCTCATCAAAACACAAAAGCATCACGACTGAATCCTCTTTATGTAAATGTTTATCTGTTAATTGAGTCTTTGAAGAGCCTGAAGGTTCTTTATTGTGATTTCTGTAACATCTTGTGTCCAACTCCAGGGTTGGGCCTTGTTTTAGCTTCTTTTATACATATTTTCAAAAACGATCATTAAAAAAAGCAGCTGCTCAGAAAGTAAAGTGATTGGAGGAACACTTTAATAGAAACCATCGTCATTGCACAAAACTTGTTTTCGTTTTTATCAGACGTTAAAACATCTGTTTTGTGATTTAAAATGAATAAATAAATTGATTTGATAAGAAGGACGAGTCTCAGGAAACATGGAGCGGTGTCGGGGATGAAAATGGAAGCAGCACGCCTCCTCGGGCTGCAGGCTGGCAGAGACGGAGCATGATGCACGCAGCCTGCGTCACACAGACGGCTCGCCAACATGGACGAGGGGGACTTCCTGTCCACACCTCCACGCGCTCTACTAAACAAGAACGTGTTCCAAACGGAGCAAATCCCAAAAAAAGAATAATCCGGATCCGCTCTGAACAGGATTATCATCTACAGAAACATTAACTTTACCTGCTAAAGAACGACTAAAGTGCAGTCGGTGAACTGTGTTTGAGCTTCTTTGATGAATGACGCACAAAAAATAAAAACGTGTGTGTGTGTGTGTGTGTGTGTGTGTCTACCTGAACACCGCTCTGTCATCACAGCTCAGCAGGAAGTCGAATAAATCAAGTGTTTCCCATTCGAGCGCGTCCTCGCTGCACTTCCTTCTAATAAAACTCGGCCTTGGCTCAGAGACGTGTTGTGAGCTTTCCAACAGGAAGTAGAGCAGTTGTTCAGAGAGGTGATATTTTACTAACACATCTAAAATATTCTGCTCTTTCACATCCACTGACTGTAAAGCTGCAGCTCATGTGATTTATAAAGGTCACAAATGACACATGAAGGATAAAAATGTATCAAATACGTGTTTAGTCTTTAAAATAAGTGCTATGTTCATTAAGGGGTTCATTTATGTAAAACAAGTTTATTGTTTATAAAGTGTCAGAAAGGGACAAAACATAAAAAAACAACCCCTTTAGGAATCAAGTAAAGAAGAATAACCATGTAAGTTTGAGTCCAATAACTTTATTAGCATATATTTAAATATTTAGTGATTGTTTCTGGTCTGTTCTTTTTTTATTCTTGTACAAACATCAAAGGGACACAATTCTTCTAAATAATTTACTTTCTTTGTTTTTAAAGGCCTTCCTCCCACAATGGCTGACACCGAGGTCTCCTTGTCTCCATCTCTCCTGCCGCTCCACCTTAGCCCCTCCCACTCTGCTCCACCTCCTCTGCCAGACGACTCCTCCCCCACCACATTCTCTTGCCCCTCCTCACCCTCCAGCGCCTCCTCCTCCTCTTCTTCCTCGTCCTCTTCCTCCTGCTCTGAGAGCTCCTCAGACTGCCCCAACCACCACCATCACCGTCACCACCACCATCATCCTCGGCCTCAGCTGCAGCTGCCCCCGCCCCCCCATGGCGAGCAGTCGTCCTCCCCCAGCGCCAGCCCTCGCAGCTCCAGTCCGAGCGGGAGCATCGGCAGCAGCAGCGCCAGCGAGGGCACCTGCAGCAGCGGCGTGTCGAGCGGCGGCGACCAGCGAGGTCCGAGTCCCCTGCTGGACATCATCTCGGAGGACGCCATGGAGATGGACCTGGGGGTCGACCCAGGTAACAATAACACGGCGGCGTCGCTGCGTCTCCACCGCGTCAGGTTTTCTTTGGTCTTTATCGTGTTCTGGTTTCGGTCCGACTCGTTTTTGTTTTCTGCCTCCAGTGATCGATCCGGAGGTGGCGCTGAAGGCCTGCCAGGAAGTGCTCCTTAAAGTCAAAATGTTGGACAACAAACAGGACGAGCACCAACAGGACACGGACGTCCCGGAGCGCTGCAGCCCACAGTGGCTCATCAACCCGGACACGGGCTCCATCAGAGAGGAAGATGAGGATGAAGACGAGCGTCAAAGAGACGCAGCTAAAACCCGGCGGGACCCGGCGTCCTCAGCAAAGCTGGAGTCGTCCTCGCAGTCGACGTCCAAACAGTCGTGGCTGCTGCGCCTGTTCGAGTCCAAGCTGTTTGACGTTTCCATGGCGATTTCTTACCTGTATAACTCCAAGGAGCCGGGGGTGCAGGCGTACATCGGAAACCGCCTCTTCAGTTTCCCCGACCGCGAGGTGGACGTTTACCTGCCGCAGCTCCTTAACATGTACGTGCACATGGACACGGAGGTGGGGGACGCCATCAGACCCTACCTGGTGAGTGTCGCACGCCTAAACACCTTTTAACCGTTCAGGCGTCAAAACTTTCAGCTCGTTCGGGACATTACAGCCGCATTTTAACTTTAGCTTCTTCGACACATTTAGTTCTCACGCTGGTTAGCGCAGCGTCGAGTTCTTGTTTTGGTTGTAAACGTTTAAGAAGTTTAAGGTTCACGTGAGAATTTGTGCGTCTCAGATCCATCGCTGCAAGTCGAGCATCACCTTCTCTCTGCTGTCGGCCTGGCTGCTGGGCGCCTACTCCTCCGACATGCACATCTCCACGCAGCGTCACTCCAGGGGCACCAAGCTGCGGAAGCTCATCCTGTCGGACGAGCTCAAACCTCCCGGTCCTCCCTCCGAAGCTCCTCGGTCCGTTTCTGGGTCGGTTTCCAGCAGTCCACTGTCGTCGCCGCCCCACCTCCGCTGCCACCGCAGGCACAACAGCAGTAACGTGGACCCGTCCTCCGGCCCCCTCCCGGACCGCTCCGATCAGGGGGAGGCGTTTGTTTCCCCGACCAGGAGGACGCATCAGAGGTCCAAGTCGGACGCCACCATGGTGAGCAGTGGATCCAGCGCCAGCCTCAGACGGACGGGGAGCAACCCGAAGGTGGAGGCTGTCCATGAAGAGGTGAGAGGCGCTTGAGCTTAGCTGGAAACGTCTGTAGGTGCTGACGGGAAGAATTAAAACCTTCAAACCCAAATTAGCTTCAGAAAATGGTAAAATTTCTCGACTACAATACAGGTGCTGGTCATAAAATTAGAATATCATGAAAAAGTTGATTTCAGTAATTCCATTCAAAAAGTGAAACTTGTAGATTTATATTCATTCGTTACACACAGACTTATCTATTTCAAACGTTTATTTCTTTTAACGTTGATGATTATAACTGACAACTAATGAACCCCAAATTCAGAATCTCGGAAAATTAGAATATTAAGACCAATGGAAAAAAAAAAAAAGAAGTATTTTTAGAAATGTTGGCCAAATTTAAAGTATGAACATGAAAAGTATGAGCACGTACATCATCAGTACTTAGTTGTTGCTCCTTTTGTCTGGATTACTGCGTCAACGTGGCGTGGAGTCGGTCAGTCTGTGGAACTGCTCAGGTGTTATTAGCCCAGGTTGCTCTGATCGTGGCCTTCAGCTCTTCTGAGTTGTTGGGTCTGGTGTATCACATCTTCCTCTCACAATACTCCATAGATCTTCTATGGGGTTAAGGTCAGGTGAGTTTGCTGGTCAATTAACAACAGGGATACCATGGTCCTTAAACCAGGTACTGGTAGTTTTGGCACTGTGTGCAGCTGCCAAGTCCTGTTGGAAAATGAAATCTGCATCTTTATAAAGTTGGTCACCAGCAGGAAGCATGAAGTCTCTAAAACACAGTGGACCAACACCAGCAGATGACACGACACCCCAAACCATCACCGACTGTGGAAACTTGATACTGGACCTCAAGCATCATGGATTCTGTGCCTCTCTTCCTCCAGACTCTGGGACCTTGATTTCCAAAGAAAATTCAACTTCTCATGATATTCTAATTTTATGACCAGCGCCTGTATAAGTTTCAGTTCTTCCCTCAACCTCAGGATCTGATTATTTACCAACACAAAAGGACAAACCTTCGCTGATGGTGTGGTTTAATGTTCCTAATTACACTGATGAAAGCATTGTAGATTAATATCTGAGGCTTTCGGAGCCCGTTTGTGTCTGAAGCCTGCAGCCGTTTCCCAGTTAAACCATCTGAAGGCTTAAAGGACACTAAATTATTTAAACTAAAAATAAAATCTAGCATTTTACTCCTATAGGGGAAAAACGGGCAGGAAATGTAAAATTATAAGAGTTTTCAATTATGAGCTTGTTTTCTTTGTAGTATCTGCTTCTTGTTTCTCTTATAGTTTTTTTTTTCTCGTGCTTGACTTCTTCCTTTGTTGGTTTTGTTGGTTCTGCTGGAGAAGAAGACTCTGATTGTTCAGAGACGTGGGAGAAAGCAGAGTGGGCCTCATTCTGCAGCTTCCGTCAAAATGATTTTTAGAACAAACGCATCCTCATTCATTCACCGTTTCAACAGAACATCAGCTTAATGCTTTTATTTTGGCGGGTTTTCTCAAATGTAGAGCCGCAGATTTTCTTTGAATTGTCTGTTTTTTTTTTTTTTTTTTAGTTTTATTACGTCAATAATCCGTTATTAGTTTGTTTCCAGATGTGCTGAGGGAGAGATATCTGTAGTCGAGTTACAAACTGGATTCCTTCAGGTCCAAACTCACAAACGTGGATTAGAAATTGTTTAAGTGTGAACATGCTGTACGTCAGGGTTATTTTATCTACGTTTGCTGCAGTATGGCTTTTATTTATTTACTGCCTTAAGTTATAAAACTACTGGAGTTGAATGTCAGTGAGTAAAAATGTTGGTAAGAGCACTTTAAAGTTTTCTATCTACACAGATTTTATATAAAAAGATAAATCATGTTCTACAACGGGAGCAGCAGCCGATGGTTTTTAGATTTTGAAACGTCTTAAAGCATTCACGTGTTCGAGACGAAGAATGATGCAACAGGTCCTGGAGCCAGAACATTACGAGCCTTCAAACCTCAACGAAATCTTAAGATCAGTCTTTTAACAGGCACACGATCAGAACGCGAAGAAATGACGCCTGGATGGTGTCGTGATCTTTCTCTGCTCTGTGGGTGCAGATAAAACGCTCCCGTCTTTAACCGATCAGCTGCAACATGTCGGATGAGACGAACCGAACTGGTTTCTGGATTACAGCAGAGAAGTTCAGAGATAAACGTGTTTTCAGCGTTGCTCTCGGCCTGCACATTCCTGGCTGGCAGCTTCAGTCACACGGAGGCCGAAGCTCTCTGTTGGCTCCGAGCCTGGTGTGTGATGGGATGGAACATGGACCTGAAGAACAGAAGAAAACAAACAAAAATCACAGTTTTTAGCTTACACCGTTCTTCTGTTGGATGGTGTTTTCCAGCTGCTCGTGTGTGTTGGTGGAGGAGTCCAACACTGCAAAAACCCAAGCAGGAGATGGAACCAGGACCGATTATCTTCGTTTTCAGCAGCTGAACTTGTGAACTTCTGATAAGGAAGTCTGAAAGAAAAGTCTCACTGTTTGATTCTAATCTTGTTTTTTTTTTCAGTAGAATAATAATTTAAAAAAAATCTGGGGTGGATTAGACTGAATCTGAAGCAGAGATTAAAACAAACGACCCATTTCCAAAAAATACATGGAACTTTGTGTAAATAAAAACGGAAGGACGCATTTTATTCACTACGGAGCAAAGTAAACATATTAAATGTTGAAACTAAAATATGTACTTTTTTTTTAAACAAAAACCAAACTATAGTTCATTAGGGTTTTTTAATGGCAGCAACACATCTCAGAAAACAAGACGGTGGTGAGACCAGTTATGTTGTATGGTCTGAAGTAGAGGATGACATTTTTTCGGAAGTACCGCGGGTCACGTGATTCCGGCGGGACCGGAGTCAACCTCATTATAACTCACGTGACCGGGACATGACTGGACTGAAAGCTAACAGGAGCAGGAATCGTGTTACCAGGAGTGGGACCAGGACGGGAGTGAAAATCCACTCCTGTGTCATCCTCTAGTCTGAGGACAAAAAGACAGGAGACAGAACTGGAAGTGGCAGAAATGAAGATGTTGAGTTTCTCCTTAGGAGTGACGAGGATTGATAAGATCAGGAATGAGTTTATCAGAGGTCCAGAACGAGTTGAACTGGGAGATAAAGTTAGAGAGGCCAGACTTGGACATGTCCAGAGGAGGGACAGTGGGTATACTGGTAGAAGGATGTTAGAAATGCAGCTGCCTGGAAAGAGACAGTGTGGTTTAGCCTCGTCTTGCTGAAATGTGCAAGGCCTTCCCTGAAAAAAGACATCTGGATTCGAGTGCATGTTATAATGGGAGTACCATGTTTTTCACAGACTGGTAAACCTTTGCCCATCTTTACTTCCAAGAGATTCAGCCTCTTGTTGTACCTCGAATTAGCTGCAAAATGCTCCTTCAAACATTTTTGTGATGTTTTGCTGTTTTACAATTCAAAACGACTTCACTTCTCCCCGTACACAGTATCCAGGTTTCAACCTGTGATACGTTTACTGTTCCGTTGTGAACTTGGGTTTATGACTCAGTGCATTCTGTGTTTAACATTTTACACAGCGCCCCAACTTTTTTGAGAATTAGGGTTGGAATATTAAAATGCATTTTTACACAGAAGTGCTAATTTAAAAAAAAAAACAACAACCTTGCACTGCCAAACGAGCTGGACTGGCTGTGATGAGACGTTATCAGACTCTGGATACAGTCGGGCTTCTTCCTTCCCTCTGACTGTAGATAAGCGATGCGTGCGGTCTGTCATGTGTAATCAGCTGATCAGACAAAACGATCCACAACGCAACGTTAAACGTCGACTCAGAGGAAAGTATGCAGTCTACTAATGTAACGTTTGTGCAGTTTTCCAGGCGAATCTTCTAAATTTGAGTCTTAATTTAAAGCATTGGGTGGACGTTGTGGGACTGAAACGGTTCCTTTTCTTCTTCTTCCTCTGGTTGAAGAACTCATCGTTTACACAAAAGGCAGAAGTTTATTGAAAACTTCCGTCTTCGTCTCTCTGACAGGAGAAGTGACTACAGTGTGGAAACGCGATACAACGTGGCGAAACAAAAGCTCAACAGTTATTTTGGAAAGAGGGGTTGTCATGGTGACTGTCCGGAAGCGTGGGGAGGGAGGGATGGACGGCGGGTTGAGAGGAGTGTCGTCTTACAGCAGCACAGCGAGACGCCAGATTCCATTTAAATGATTAATGTCGACCTGAACTTTCAACTTCACTCGATTTGCAATCCTTGTTTTTGAAATGTTTTATTTTTCCGTTAGCCCTCAGAGGCTCCCATGGGGAAAAGTCCCATTTCTTTATGCTTGGTGCTGCTAAACAACCATTCTTGGTTATAAATATGGTCGATGTGTGATTGCGGTGCACCCAGTCTCATTTGTTATGACACGAGGAAACCGAATATTTTATCAACAAATATTTAAGCTTTAACATTCAACAACTACAAACTTTGAATAAACCAGTTTCTGATTTTAATCTGCTCAAGACGAACCTTCAGTTCTGCTGCGATCTCCTCCATCTCTGTGAAAGTCGTACGGAAAACAAGACTCACTTTTCACACGTCGGTGCCTTCTTCGTGGACTTTTTATTTTTTTTTCATTTTCTGCAAGATCTGATTGGTCGAGGGGTGGTGCCGTTCCGTGCGCTCGTGCATTATCTCAGAGCCTAACCTGTTCGGGCGCAGGTTGGATTCCCAGCATAACTTTCCGCAGCGCTAGACCCGAGTAAGAGAGAACGCAGATCTGCGATACTGAAAACCCTGAAGTGAAATCACTTTAAGACACTAATCCTGGTCCAGGCTGCAGCCCTCGGGTCTGGTTCATGGAAGGGCTTGTGGGGGATTTTAACCCACGTGATGCTGTAATGGCTGCTTGGTCGTCATGTGGCTCAAGCTGCTGTTTCAGAAAGTAAAAATGGGCCGAGGCAAGTCTGGTCTGGTTTGGTCCAGACAATCTATAACCACTTTTTATTTATGTTGATGGATTACATGAACAACTTTGTTCTTGGATGTTTTTCTGGGTTAAATTGTAAACCTGTCAAGTCAACTTTATTTATAAAGCACATTTAAAACAGCCAAAGTTAATTATGTTAATTAATTGGTTAATTGAATATGTTTCCTAACAAAGGTTTTTAACGCCTGCTGGCATCAGTGGGAGAGAACTGGCATTAAACGTTTCCACTGATCAAGAGAAATAAAACCGCAGCTTCTTTATAAAACATTTGAACGACTACACAAACAAAAACCCCTCTTCCTGCTTGTTTGCAGCCGGAGCGTCTTCGTCCTCAGAGGGAGTTTGTCAAGTCTCTGTTTGGCATCGGGAAGCGTTTGGCCACGCTGCCGACCAAAGAGCAGAAGACCCAGCGGCTGATCTCGGAGCTGTCGCTGCTCAATCACAAGCTGCCAGCTCGTGTGTGGCTGCCCACCGCCGATCACCAGCACCACGTCTGCAGAGTCCCCCACACCCAAGCTGTGGTCCTTAACTCCAAGGACAAGGTGAGCGGTAACTCCTCCTGTTAAAAACAAGCTGCTTACAACTAGGGCTGCGCGATACGGACCAAAATTAATACATCGATATTTTCAAGATAAATCGCGATATACGATGTATCAATATTTTTTTCTTTCCATAAAGTAACAACAAAAATATTTCTGAGTCAAAGCTTTGCACATTAATGAGCAAGCAGCTGTAACTGTACAAAATAAAAGTCTAAAAAGTAAACTCTTTAAATATATTAAATAATAATCGTCTTCAGCTGCGCCGCCTTCATGACGTTGGTGTTTGTGAAGCAACACGTGAGGGGCTGTTTGTATTCAGTGAGGGAGAAGGAGTTGCATTTGGAGCAAACGGGAGAAAAAGAACCACACGGATTTTCAAGTCTAATACTCGGTGGTTGCGATAGAGTCGTTTTAACCATCGTAAAGTGGAAAACTCGTGATGCGTCGCCCAGCCCTACTTACAACAGGAAACGTTAAAACGATTAGTTTCTAACACGTGAAAATGCAGTAAGTTGCTCAACGCTGCCCTGCTTTTACCTCTCCAGGCTCCCTACATCATCTACGTGGAGGTTTTGGAGTGCGAGAGCTTCGAGACGTCTCCTGTTCCGGCTCGGATCCCAGAGACCAGGATCCGTACGGCCCACTCTGCAGAGAACCTGGACTGCGGCACGGCGGCTAACGTGAACAGCAGCATGACGTCGGAGCACAGAGCGGGAAGTTTCTCCACCGTCCCAAATTACGACAACGACGACGAGGCGTGGGCCACCGACGATATCGGACAGCTGCAGGTGGAGGTACAGGCGGACCTGTGGAGGTCCTCGTGAATCCCCAGGAGACCCAGTGTCCTCATAAGGCGCGTAAACAAGCCTGTGTGTGCCGTTTGTTTCAGGGGGAGGCTCAGACCAGCAGCAGTGACAACATCAGCCAGTTTTCAGTGGACAGCATCACAAGTCTGGAGAGCAAAGAGCCGGTGTTCATCGCTGCTGGAGACATCAGGTAGAGTCGCTGCCCGGGAGCGTGGCGGAGCCAACAGACCATTTACACAACTCGTAAACTGGTTGTTGTTTTAAGTTCTCACTGGTCATTGGCATCAGTTCTGATCTCTGTCCGGTGGCGTTTCAGGCGGCGTCTGTCGGAGAACCTCGCTCAAACACCCACCTCGTTCAAGAGGGACCCCGAGGACCCGTCAGCTGTGGCCCTCAAAGAACCCTGGGAGGAGAAAGTCAGGTGGGGCCTGGAAGGCGAGCAAAGATCAACTCCTCTCCTGCTCTGTGGTAACTCTCTGCTTGTGTCCAGGCGGATCAGAGAAGCCTCTCCGTACGGTCACCTTCTTAACTGGAGGCTGCTGTCGGTCATCGTGAAGTGTGGAGACGACCTTCGGCAGGAGCTGCTGGCCTATCAGGTCCTCAAACAGCTGCAGGTACAGAAACACCTGAACCATTAACGTTTGCGTCAGAAAGCAGCTCAAACTGAACGCTGCTCTTTAGATGTAATCCTTCTGAAATGCATTTCATTCTTCTTGGCTGTCGGTAAGATTAGGAATTCAGACAAAGCAACAAAAACTACAACGACCACGTCTCCAGACGCATCTTCTCAGTAAAGACGAACCGGTTTTCACCCCTCTGTGTGTTTGTACCATCAGTCCATCTGGCAGCAGGAGAGAGTTCCTCTGTGGATCAAACCATATAAGATCCTGGTGATGTCGTCAGACAGCGGGATGATCGAGCCCGTCCTCAACGCCGTTTCTCTGCACCAGGTGAGCAAAGGACTCTGGGAAACTGTTCTGCTGAGCATTAATGTGCTACTGGACTTTGACTTTACAATGTTAATGTTTAATAAGTAATTGAGCTGCTTAGTTATCAAATCAGTTTTTCACTCCTAAGAACTCCTCTGCTGTTTAGATGGCACTGGAAGAAAACTCTGCTTTTATATTAATATCGACACAAACTGCACACAGGTAAGATGATTCTTTTGTTGTTCTTTGTCAGGTGAGAAAACAGAGTCAGCTGTCTCTGCTGGACTACTTCCTGCAGGAGCATGGCAGCTTCACCACGGAGGCTTTCCTCACTGCTCAGAGGAACTTTGTTCAGAGCTGCGCCGGATACAGCCTCATTTGTTACCTGCTGCAGGTCAAGGACAGGTGAGGGGGGGGGGGGGGGGACCAGTAGCACAGCAGTAAAGAGTTTTCTTTATGTGAATATGGTTTTCAACAAAAAGAACTAAGGAATTAGCTTTTGAAAGTAAGTTGCACCTTCCTGCGACTCCCTGACTTCTAAATGTTTTTTTGCAGACACAACGGGAACATTCTGTTGGACTCTGAAGGCCACATCATCCACATCGACTTCGGTTTCATCCTTTCCAGCTCTCCTCGCAACCTCGGCTTCGAGACGTCGGCCTTCAAACTCACATCAGAATTTGTAGACGTGAGTAAAGACTTTGACTTAATTTATGCTTGAAATTTAAAAAAAACCAACCGAAACTCAGATTTGTTAGAAATGCTCCAGACGACGCTGTGGATCGGTATCACCACACCAACATGTATCCACCATTACAACAGCAGCTCCACTGACTCCTTTTCAGGTGATGGGGGGTCTTGATGGAGACATGTTCATCTACTACAAGATGCTGATGCTGCAGGGTCTGATAGCAGCCAGGAAGCACATGGAGAAAGTGCTGCAGATAGTCGAGATCATGCAGCAAGGTAACGTGCACACGGGACACGCTCTGCAGCATTCGGATGAAAAGCTCAGCTTTGATACATTTGAGCTCCCAGACTAATGCAACTAAAATGTAATATTTTATTAAATGCCAATGCGTCTGGAACGTCATCACGAGCGTACAGACGCCCGACTTGTGTCAAACTCCTGCTAGCAGAGAGAGAAACGAGCATTCGCAGCTCGTTTCAGTTTCTCTTGGTGCGGCTTCTTGAAATTAAACATTAATCCAAAAAGACGTCTGTACGCCCGAGATTACAGCACAGGCGTGTCTCCGCTTGACTTTCAACCATTTTTCAAAACCCTCACAATGTTATCTCTGTGAGAATGTCCGTTTCAGATGTTTGGAGTTTATTTGAAATATTTGCACATCTCAGTTCTGAGCAGGATTGTAGCAAAATGAATCGGGTTTAGGCCATTTGGATGTGCTCATGTTGGAACCGCTTAGACATAACTAGTGTTATAAATTCAGTAAACGATCAAATGTTAAAAATAAGTTGTATTTAATGAGCTGAAGTCTTTACAGTATAATCTCTTTAAATGAAAGTCATTTTAAAGCAGAATTTTCAGTCCGTCAAAAAGATCAAGTTGTATTGTAAGTACCAATAGTATTTTACTGTGCAAAGGACTACCTGTGTTATACAGGTCTCTCTTGTAAATGAGTCCTCGTGGCTCAGTGAGACTAACCTGGATAAATAAAGGTTGAATGGAAAAAAATGTTAAAATATCACCCTTTTGAATATCGAGGCTCAATGGGATTTACCTGTCTAAATAAAGGTTGATTGATTGAATATAACATTATATAAAGAAAATAACAGTTCGGTGTCAAGCTTTAGGAGTTTCATCAGTGTAATCACATTTTAACGAGTGAACATTCACATTATGAAGGTTGTTCTGTTTGAAATTAAACTTTTCGACTCTCTTGATGCTAAAAGTCCTCGAACCTTAAAAATCGCACTGTTGGTTTTATTTACACGACGAAGAAAACTGACAGAATCAAAGCAAAGACTAATTATTTTTCTGTTTAAATTGCTATTCAAATAGTCAATTTATTTCCGTTATTAAAAGCAAAACATAAACTCTACGTCTTTGTCTTATTGAAATGCTGTAACTTGTTTTTTAAACACAACTGAGACTTTTTTTAAATTAGCTTCAGCTGCAGGAAACATTTGTAATATAAAACTTTAAACATTATTATTGTAGTGCCGGCATGAAAATCTATTTTGCTAAATATATATCGCAAAAAAAAGCTACAAATTACCGTAATTTCCAGACTATTGAGCACACCTGAATATAAGCCACGCCCACAAAAAACCCTACAGCCTGTTCCACAGTCATTTAAGAGCTTTGACAGATCGTCCATGTACGCATTAAATAAAAAGGGAGACGGGATGCTACCCTGTCTCACACCATTTGAAACTCCGAAGGGATCTGATGCAGAGTTTCCCCATTTTACATACACGTGCTGATTAGCATACCAAAAGACAAGAATCCTCACCAAACATTTGGGGACACCTGTTATACAACTTGTGAAACAACTTTTCATGGTTTACATAATCAAAGGCCTTTGAGGCATCAATAACACACATAAAAATGGAGGTGTTGTGTCTGTTGTATAGATCTAAAATTTCTTTTAAAGCAAAAATGCACAAGTCTGTTCCATGTTTACGTTTAAAACCAAACTGATTATCAGAGGTCAGCAAAAATCTTTCCAGTTTGTTCAAAACAGCCTCTCCAGTACCTTAGACAAGCTGCTGGCCAGAGCTATAGGCCTATAATGATCCTTACTGTTAATATTACCAGCTTTATCCTTCACAATAGGAACTAAAATGACATGTCAGGTAACCCTCCATGAATAAGAGCGCCTGTAAAACCTCTAGCAAGCAGAGGGTAAAGTTTCCTGCTCGCATATTTTAGATGCTCAGCAGATACAACGTCTTGTTCTTATCCAGCTTCATTACAATCTCAAAGACTTCTTGTGGGGACAAGATAGTCCGGAAATTACGGTACATCAATGTAGAAGCTAGAAAAGAGGATTTTCAACCTCGGTGAGTTAAATGAAATATTAGTATATTATCTTAAGAATCTGGTTTTAGGTATAGATTTATAATCAGTAAGAGAAATAAAGTAAAAATAAATAAATGAAAAGGCAGAATAGGTGAGAATCTAACTGAAAATAGTTGTGGTTTTCGATGAACAGTTGGTGTAGATAAAAGACAGATTGGAAATAAACTAATGAACCGCTGCACCAACCATTAAAACATCATTCATACGGGAATTTAAAATCCATAAGAAGTTTATGTAACATTGACCGGCTTAGTAATTCCTGCCGTCCCGAGTTGAAACGTCTTCTTTGTGCTTCTCCAGGTTCCCACCTGCCGTGTTTCCATGGCTCCAGCACCATCCGAGGCCTGAAGGAGCGTTTCCACATGTCCCTGACGGAGGAGCAGCTCCAGCTGCTGGTGGAGCAGCTGGTGGACGGATCCATGCGCTCCATCACCACCAAACTCTACGACTCCTTTCAGTACGTCACCAACGGCATCATGTGACCCGCCACGCCGGGAAGAGACGCCGCGTGTGCAGCGCGGCTTCAGCTTTCCTCCATTCTTTGCGAATCGGGAGCTCCACGTTGCTCCGGCTCGATTTACCGGAAACAAATTTTGTGATTCTTCTGGAATCTGGATCAGATTATTATTATTATTATTTTTTTTTTTGTTAGGATCTTGGAAAGTACAGAATCTGGAACTTTACCGGATCAACAGACACTATAGAAAAGGCCAGAGGTGCAAAAAACAAAACCTGAGCTGAATTTCTTTGAAACCTGAAGGACTTCTGGACTCGACTCTGAACCAGCTCAGGAGCTTTGGTTTGCTTTACTGATCGGTTTTGGGACGCATGGCCACTTCTGAACGGATTTGATCAAGAAGGACGTCGTCATTTCATCAAGAAGGAAATAATCATTTTACTTTAAACTCCCGACACCTGCTCCGTGCAGCTTAAAACGCAAAATGTCACCACTTTTGACTTAATCGGTCGCATCGTGAAGAAAGATTTGCACATTGAGCTGAAACCGCTATTATGAAAGTGGTCAACTGAAATTGATTGATTAGAAAAACTAATAACTCTACCAAAAACAACAACAGGTCCATATCCTGCTGCATCGACCAGAAGCTAAGACGACAGCAGCTTGTTCCTCGTTTGATAAAGTTCGACGGGGCAGCAAACACCAGCAGGGCGTCTCCACCGATGAGGAACTTCATCGACATTTGTGGTTCTTGAAAAGAAAAGCACAACACGAACCAAGTCGTGACTTTTCGGGATTCTTTTTTTTTTTTGGTCGTTCTTTAGAAAACCGTTGCAAGAGGCTGCAGAAAGCCCTAAAATATTTCATCATCTTTGTTTTATTTTGAAATGTTTAAAAATAGTTTTGCCAGACGAACTTGAATCAACGTTTGTTTCAGTTTTCGCACCAGACCGCTTTTACAACCGCCAAGTCTGAGCTCCTAATGACAAGAAAGACATTAAAATGTGTCGAATAACATTTGGAAATTAAACGTTGGCATGTTAACGCTACGTGCCAGTTTGAACCTAAAACTCAAACTGTGAGCACAGAACGATCAGGAACTATAAAAGGTGACGTCCTTGTTGGAGAAATGAAGCAAACATGGACACTTAAAGCTGCATTCTGTTTCTTGACCAGCAGAGGACGCCTCCTGGAGTTACAGAAGCCTACTTCTTATAATTGACCCGCTAGCTTCTGGTTCCAACAGGTTTTTATTGGAGCACAATGTTCATTCATGCTAACAAGATCTATTGCATAGAACACCATGTTCGCAGTATGCTTTAGCATGAAGCTAACTTTTATTTATTTAGTCAGTTTTTCCATCTTTTTAAGTCATTCCATTGATAAAATTAGGTTTCTAAATAACGAGTAGGCCTGTCGTTATAAACAATAAATCAATTAATCGCATGATAAATGAAAATTATCGACCACATTTTCATTTATCGCTTTATCGTTTCTTCGTGTCTCGTTCTACTGAAGACACTGGACGACAAAAAGCTCAACTCCGGTGCTCTTCACTGACTCCTCCCTTTCTCTTTAAAATCCATTTTAACGATCCAAAATCACGTGTTTGGATCGTTCAAAGCAGCTAAGCTGAGAAGCTAAGCTACGAGCTAAGCTAACAGGCCGACCTCGGGGTAAAAACCTCCGTCTTGTTGAAGCTCCAAAATTCACAGTTGAAACCCGTTCCTTCATGTAAAAACTTGTTGTTCTCTGCAAAAAGAAGCTGAGAACTTGTTTACTGTTTTTTTGTTATTTATTTTTATTTATTAAAAGCTTTGTGGAAAATGCTATGCTAAAGAGCTCAAACCACACGGAGAGTCAGACATTTTGAGAACGGAATAAAGGAAGGAGAGACAGCCCATGTCTCGTCAAGAGGCCTCCCTCCCATTTTTCTTAGAGACACGCTGCTCGCTCCCTCACTATCCATGAAAAAAGGTACTACACCCCAAATAAAATTAACCAACATTTCTTCTTAAATTTGACAATAGTTACTAATTGTCAAATTTCAAACAATATTATCGTTTATCGCAATAATTTCTGAGACAATCGTCAAGCAAAATTAGTTGTGGTGACAGGCCTAGTAACGAGGGGCATACAGCTCTACATCAACTAAACTAAATACCTAAATAGGAGTTTTAAACCAGTTTAAAATATTTGCTCATTATTTTTATATTGTCTATTGCAGGGGTTCTCAAACTTTCTGGGTTCAGGGACCTCTTAAGGGGAGAAAAAGTTTCAGGGACCCCC